GAGGAAGTTGTCCGAGTTCTTGTGATTGCTGGAAGAGATCTGGGATACGATGTATTCACTGAGGTCTAATCCAAGATCTCATATCTGCCATGCAATTTCTGGCCAGAGCAGAACAGCAATGTACAGAGACGCTACTATCCCTGGGAACTTGCTGCCATCATGCTATGTATACACTACATTATTCCCGTCTTTTCCCGTCTCTCTTTGTGGCTAGTCGTTGAACTGTATGAAATCCTAGTTCCCTATATACCACCTCTCGTGACTTGGAAACTGGCCATTCCTCATACATATCGAAAGAGTGTTGATAGTCTATTGTATACCTTCACGATCCTCTATGGCGGATCAAAAGGACCAGCACGCATAGAACCGCCATAGTGGGTACAACGGGGAGATCCCTTCCCAGTGCGATTGTTCCACAAGGCAGTCCCTCTAGACTCTCTTCACTAGTATCGTAACCACCATTCATGGGTGATCCACGGCCATCAGCAATCACTAACGCTATCAGCTCGCTTGTTTTGGATTGCTGGCATGGCTTAACTGTACGCACCTGAATCGCAGCCAATAAAAGGACCTCGGAATTTATCTCTCTTCACAGCGTGTACGGTATAAACAGGGATAAGGCAGAGCTCAATTGATCGGGCAACAATGCCCTTGCGAATTTGAATACAAAACCTGCCCGCGCCATCCTTCTTGAACACAAACTTCCATCACCGATGGGCTCAACACTCATAGAACAGAGATAACCGCCAAGATTTTGGGTTATTTAACGCCACATACTAGGGAATCGGGTTATGCTTGACCTTTGTCCTCACAGTGGACCGTGTTCCCTGTACCATAGTTAGGAGATGAAGACCATTAGCTACCTTCGAGCTCTCTCTCTATTTATGATGACAGGTTGGGCCTTAGGGAGTGAATGGGACGAAGGGCTCGACGGAATCCTTCTAGGTGAAGTTGTAGGACCTACAGAGACTCCATACCCGGTGCCAAATCTGTATCAAGCTCTTGTACTTGGACCAATTCCTGTGGAATCTATTCCGGGTTTGTCTAAAGGGCCACGGATTGTGAAGGAAAGAGGATTAGACTCCCGCTCTGTGAGTACTGCGGCCTCTTTTCAATATTCATCATGGCTCTGCTCACAACATGAGAAATAGGTCACTTGTAGTAATACTACACATATGCCCGTTTGTCTCCCCTTAGGTGGGTAACTCATTCGAGACCGAAGTCTTGTCTATTCATGCTGAGCAAAACATATAGAGGATAACCTTTGTTGCCCGGTAACCACCCCCATCTGTTTGTATAACACAGATATACCACATTGAATGACTGACATTAGAGGTACAGGCTGTCCTACTCCTAGCACTGTTTGTGAGTCTCTTTCTGCTCTATATTGCTTCATAATCAGATAGGTATCTGCAGGCTGCCCTGAAGGTTCATTTTGCGTCGGAAATCATACGTGCTGTCCTAATGGTAATATTGTCTGTGGTGAAGGTGAGTATCATAATAACTTTTGAGAAAAATAGCTTACAAGCTCTAGGATGCTGTCGAGAAAATACAAGGTAAGAAGCTCAGACAAGTACTCCCCTCCTCTTATTTATGCAGATTCATATTACTCCGTTATCATAGCTGCTGTGGTGGTACGCATATAACCACTTGAATAAAGCTGACAGCTGAGGCTGAATCAGGTTCCTGTTGCCCTACTACTGGATATGTCTGTACAAGTGGAACTTGTTCTCCACAGCCGGACACAACTCAGGACTCTCAATCCCTTCTGTCAATTGCTTCGGTCCTTTCCGTGGCATCTCTCCAGTTCATCGAACAATCTGTTGCCTCTGAATCTGCTCTTCAATCTGAATCCCAGGCCTCTGTCTCTTTGATCTCCGAGGCATCCATGTCCACCCGGTCTCATAGGACTAACCCTACGGTACGCATATCCATGAGTTTACTATCCTAGCTTATATTTCTTCTATTAGAGCGATAGTACCCCTGTTACATCTGAGAGCGACACCCCTTCAAATTCTGAACCGGGTCGAAGCAAACAGATCAACACTGGTATAATCGTCGGGGCTTCTGTCGGTGGAGCAGCTATAATAATACTGATTGGACTAGCTTTAATCCTTTGTATGCGCCCAAGAAAGGAGTCTGCCCCTGTAGTCACACCTTCAAAGGCACCTCCTCCGCCAACAATGCGACCAACTCGTTCGCAACCAGCCAATGTTCTTGGATACTCACAATATACAGGTGGAAGTTCTGGTATCGTACCTCGAGCCACGCCCACACGGCTCTATAACGAGTCGAGGCCTCTAGACTTCCCACCGTCCTCAGGATATGAAGTGCCGGCGTGGCTGTCGCAGAGCAGTGATACTCAAAGGAGATCTCTTAGCGCCTCTACATCACCTTCTCCGCCACCAGTCAGAATGCAGGGAGTAACGAATCAGACCTGTCCTCTCGAATCACCCACTCCTCCTGATTATATGACTCTGGAAGGTGGTACTTCTTCTCAACCATCAAACTACAAAGCAGCCTATCGACCAGCAAACCCACAAACTTCATTTGGGGCCTCCAGAGTGGCGAGTGGTAGTTCTAATGCGGGAGAAGGCAAATCCCGTTTCAAATAAATGCTTCAAGAGTGTCAAATGGGTTTTACCTTTTTTCTGGGGCATCCTCCTATCCACCAGCTCCACCTACAATCTCGCTGGAGCGACTGGTGGCCGAATAAATACTGAATCTATCAGTTTAGCCCGCAAGAATCTCCTTTATATTGCTATATAGTTGTATAGCACTTTCTCAACAATAATCGTCTTTTGCATTGCCAGGCAAGTGACGAAGAGGGACTATCTGGACAATCATTTCAATGGCCTCAACTCAGATATGATGATACGAAATGACAAAGATGATGGATTTCGGACATTCTAACGTTTATGTCATTATATTATGCTCCTATACATTTTAAACACCGCTAACGCCCCTATTGTCGCCCAAGATTATGCCCTGAATGATTCTTGGGACCAGCATTCATGCCTAAATATAGGTTTTTTTGGGTAAAGTTCAACGAATAAGATATATCGATATATCGATAGTTGCCACTAATAACCTGTCATTACTGGTCGCATGGATTTGTCGTATCTCTGTTGACAAACCAAGGGCATTCAGCACCATATGCGTCAAGCCTTTTCATATCATGCCCCTGTCCACGAAGATTGTATGCAAATCTGCCGAACCTGTGATGAACTCCCATCCTCCGCATCGAGAGTTTTGTAGAGATGACCACCGTGAACCCTCGTGACATATCCTCGCAACTCAGTATTGGTAGCTATTTCCGAGAGGAGACACAGTTCCAGTGCGCATGAGGTCTTCTCTAATGATCTGTTATTGATGATCCACAGCCCTAAGGACCAGGTGCCTGATGCCATCAGATTGCTGGTCTTCAGCGTGCCTCTACAGCTCAGCTGTTACAATTTTGAATTCTTGGCAGTCATTTAAAGTCTTCTTCTCCCCAAGCTCGCCTCACCTGCCACCGGCCCCTCTTGCGAACTGTATACACCCCAAGCTAAGGGTGCTGAACATATATTCAATCGCTAAATCTCGGTGCCAATATGAAGCAAAGTGACCACCAGCTTTCAGGCCATTTCAACTCGTGTAAGAGGAGGAAGGGGGGTGATTGACCTTTGTGTTCCCCATCGTACTCTCCCCTCTATCAGAGCCCCAAAGGAGAAGAAATGCCCTATTTACGAGCAATATTATCATGTAAAGCCATCGGATTGGTTTCGGCAACTCTATGGGACCATGGTCTGGATGGGTTTCTTTTAGGAGAGGTCATAGCCCCTACAGAGACCCCGTACGCAGCAAGAGATCTGTATCCTGATGTTTCTTTTGGTACAGCGCCAAAGTCTTCTCCTGGTATGCCTAAAGGTGGAAATATTGAGAGGAGCGGAAGATTGGGCTCTCGTGCCGTGCGTATCGCAGCTCTTTCCGCCTTTGCAACCGCGCTTACTCATGACATATAAACCAGCCTACTTGTGCTGATCCTGGATACATATTTGCTTGTCCTGAAGGGGGTGGGTATCTCTTTCAATGCTGGGTCCTAGTCCTACACTAACTTGACACAGAAAACCTCCCTTGTTGTCCGCCAACGGCCCCTATCTGTCCGTATCGAATCAGGTTGCTATTCTGAGCTATTAACATTGGATATATAGGTTGTCATGATCCTAGTGACGTTTGTAAGCTCTCTTTCACTGACCGGGAAACTGAATGCTCAAGACGCATCCCCAAGGTTGCTTCACTGGTACATTTTGCGTCGGCCTTCGTACTTGCTGCCCCAATGGCTCACTCGCCTGTGGTGAAGGTAAGCACAATAACAGCAAGTGAGAAATGGTGGCTTATCGGCTTTAGGCTGTTGTAACTCAGACCAACTGTAAGCTTTCCAGGTCACGTCTCCTTCAGTTGCTGATACAATCTCGCATTGTGTCAATATCTAGCTGTTGTGGTATGTATTCAGATAAACGAGAAAGCTTGAGACTGAGGTGCAATCCAGGTACGCAGTGTTGTAACAATAATGAGATCTGCCGGA